ACATCCTGTGGGGGTGTTAGGCATGCTGGGTTGATGGAAGTGCGGTGGAGAGGCGGGGGGGAAACTTGTGCATGCCTTGGTTTGCAACTGTTGCAGGCGTGGGATGGTGACAGTGTGCTGGGGGATGTTTGCATGCGAGGGGGGGATGTGCACACTGGAGGCCTCTGGCTTTGCAGATCTGCAAACCCCCATGGTGCAGCCAGGAGGATGTCAGTCTGGCCCGCCACAGTGGCTGTTCCTGCGATCCTGCACCTTCTGGGCCAGGAGGTGGATCTTGCGCAGCCACTCCTGGGCGCTGATGGCCTGCAGGCGCTACTTCAGCTCAGCCTGCAGGCTCCGCTTGGTGCGCTCACAGCTGTCACCACCGCCATGTGGGGAGTACAGGCCGCCCTCCGCTGGCCTGCCTCCCCTGTCCAGAGGCTCTCTGCACTGCTCACCTGCCCAGAGTCACCTGGACTCATGTGAAATTTTTCTACATGAAGTCAAGAACCCACATAGAATTTGCCAGCCCTAGGCAGGCCCACTCAGGGCCAGGTCCCCTTTCAGGTAACACCTGGATCTAATTTGAACATTGGTTTCTGGGACCACCCCCCCAAACCCCTATTTTCCTCATTCTCTTTCACCCTGGTCCCTCTTCCCAGTTCCTTTTGCCAGTCCCTACTTTTCTCTCCAACTGCATAAGGAGGATCCCAGAGCTCAGTGCTTGGTCCTATTTTTTACCTGTACTCTGTCCTTATAAATAGCTATAAATAGCATCTATATGCTGATAACACCTACGTTTACGTCTTCATTCCAGACCCCTCCCCTGAGCTCCAGACTCATATATCCAGCTAACTGCCTGATCCATGTCTAACAAGCACCCCAAACCAAGTATGTTCTAAATGGAACTCCTGCTCACCCCCAATTCTGATCCCCTCCAGCTGGCCCCATGTCATTCTCAAGCACACAAGACAAGGCTAGGCCAGACCAAGGCCTGACTGATTCAACCAGTAAAGATACAATGAGCCACATTTAGGTCAAAAAATGTGTTTAGTTTTGTTTTTGTCTTTTTTTTATTATTTAGATTACATTGGTTTATAACATTAAGTCCTCACTTAATATTGTCAATTGGTTCTGTGACTTTAAGCAAAATGACATTTAATGAAACCAGTTTTAGCATGGGCTAATTGATATAAATAAGAGTTGATCATCATCTCGTCAACCTCATAATGAAGTGATGTTGAACAAAATGATGTTATTTGAGGACCTGCTGTATAAAGTTTCAGGTGTACAACATTGTAATTCGACATCTATATATACTACAGTGTGCTCACCCACCAAAGGTCTAATTTCCATCCATCACCATTCAATTGACCCCCTTTACCCATTTTACTATCCCCCACCCCTTCCCCTCTGGAAACCACCAATCAAACTCATAGATTCAAACACTGTATTACTTACATAGACAACAAAACCAAATTTCCCTGTGGTTATTTTTAAAATATATTTTATTGATTCTTTACAGAGAGGAAGGGAGAGGGATAGAGAGTTAGAAACATCGATGAGAGAGACATCAATCAGCTGCCTCTTGCACACCCCCTACTGGGGATGTGCCCGCAACCAAGGTACATACCCTTGACCGGAATCTACCCTGGGCCCCTGGAGTCCGCAGGCCGATGCTCTATCCACTGAGCCAAACCGGTTAGGGCCGTGGTTGGCAAACCATGGCTCGTGAGCCACAGGGGGCTCTTTGGCCCCTTGAGTGTGGCTCTTCCACAAAATACCATGTGCGGGCGCGCACATACAGTGCGATTGAAACTTCGTGGCCCATGCGCAGAAGTCGGTATTTTGTGGAAGAGCCACACTCAAGGGGCCAAAGAGCCGCACGTCGCTCGCAAGCCGCGGTTTGCCGACCACTGGGTTAGGGCATCCCTGTGGTTCTTGTCCTGCACAACAACAAAAATGACACCAAAAAAGAGGGAGACCACTTTCTAGACTAACAGACAAAGCTGTTATGGTCTGTAGCTCTGCCAGGGGGCGAGGCAGGAAGCCTCAAACCACATCAGAACCTGGGAGACCACAGAAACTGGCTCGGGACAGCTCCTAACGGAGGTAGAAGGATGGGTGGGAGATGACCCCAGAGCAGCTCCTCACAGGTCGCGCATTCTGTGCCCGAGAAGCTCACAGGCATTCTGCTGAGACTCAGGGGAGCTGTGGTTCCGGCTACCGCCTATGTGACCAATGTGGTGGTGCCAGGTGGCCAGGGCACCATGGGGAGCTGTGGCCCCACATTCAGTGGCAATAGTGTCCTTCCCATTACTCAGACCAAAAGTCATCAGGAAATCCTATGCTGCCTCTGAATACGTCCAAAATATGACCACTACTCACCACCTCCCCTGTTATCAAAACTGTGGGAGCCACAAAAGACATTGAGTGGCTGAATGGATAAAAAAAAAAAACAAAAAAAAAAACATGACCCATACATTTTCTGTCTACAAGAGACCCACCTCAGAAGAAGGGACTCACACAGACTGAAAGTGAAGGGATGGAAAAATATCTTTCAGGCAAATGGAAATGAAAAAAAAAGCTGGGGTAGCAATACTTATATCAGACAAAATAGACCTCAAAGTGAAGGCCATAACAAGAGATAAAGAAGGCCACTTCATAATACTAAAGGGATCAATACAACAAGAGGATATAACCCTGATAAACATACATATACTCAATGTAGGAGCACCCAAATACATTTTTTAAAAAAACTCCTGGAAGATAGCAAGGGAGAGATCGACAACAATACAATCATAGTAGGGGACTTTAATACACCACTAACATCACTGGATAAATCCTCTA